GACAGTCAAACATGGTTATAGGCAGTGAATGGAGAGATGTATGAAAGAATTCTTGCCTCTAAGGAATTTATAATCAAATTTAGGACAGGTAAAGTACAAAACTAACTACAGAATGGCAGGTTGGGACAAGTACCTTAGGAGTAATGCAAAGTTCTACAGGAGTTAGGAGAGATAGCTTTCTGCTGGAATGAACACCAAGACTCTTAGGAAGGAGGGGTGGCCAGTAGATTGGCCACAGTGGCTCATCCCAAGATTAAGTAAAGACTTCAATCTCTTATCAGTGTTGATTGTCCCCTTCCTGTCCAATCACCTGTCGTCCATCACCCTGCCATCAATCCGTTATGCAATCAGAAGAGAGATCCTCTAGATCAGAGGTGGGTAACACCCAGCTCTCAAGCTGTATAAGGCCCACCAAATCATTTGGTCTGGCTCTGCCAAGGCATTAGTGGTGAGTTAATTAAATGTTTGACCAAATATAGCAAGCTAATTTTTAAAAAAATAATTATTTATTGTTGAAAGTATTACATTTGCCCCCCTCCCCCCCCCCCATTGACCCCCTCCAGCCCACCCTTTCAGGCCTTCACCACCCTATTGTCTGTGTCCATGTGTTATGCATGTATGCATATAAGTTCTTTGGTTGATTACCTCCCACCCACCCACCCTACCCTGCCTTCCCTCCGAGATTTCGCACTCTGTTCCATGCTTCCATGTCTCTTGATCCACTCCGTTCATCAGTTTATTTTGTTACTTAGATTCCACATATGAGTGAGATTATTTGATACTTGTCTTTCCCTGACTGACTTATTTCAATTAGCCTGATACTCTCCAGGTCCCTCCATGCTGTCTCAAAATGTAAGAGATTCTTCTTTTTTCTGCACATAGTATTCCATGGCACACATGTAACCACAACTTTTTTATCCACTTATTTACTGATGGGCACTAAGGCTGTTTCCAGATCTTAGCTACTGTAAATTGTGCTATAGCAGGCTAATTTTTAAGTTGATAATTTTGTGTGGCCTGAAAATGATGCTATAAATATCCCAATGGCCCTTAGGAGAAAAAAGTCTCCCCACCTCTACTCTAGATTGAATTAGAGTCATGATCGAGTCCACTGAAAACACTGTCATTAGCTCTCAAACCTCCCATTCCCAGCATTCCCAGCACGTGGTTGCATCCAACTATCTAAAGTTGTGATATTCCTGGTTGTGGCTCCTAACACTTGCTTAAAGCAAAGCAAATAGCAGCTATTAACCACATTTTCACCATAGTCAGAAAACTCTGAGATACCACAAGATTTCAGGCAATGGCTTCTCATCATTTCAGAATACAAAAAAACTAAGTTCCATGGGACTCTGTCTATCTTGTGATCACTATAACCCAGTGCTTAGGACACAGGAGGGACCTGATTAGTCTTTGTTGAGAGAGTCAATTAATTTGGTCCATATACTTATTAACAAACTAGAGGCCTGGTGCACAAAATTCGTGCGGAGGGGTGGGGTCCCTCAACCCGGCCTGCACCCTCTTGCCATCCAGAACCCCTCGGGGGATGTCTGACTGCTGGTTTAGGCCCGATCCCATAGGAATCCCTCTCACAATCCGGGACTGCTGGCTCCTAACTGCTCGCCTGCCTGATCTCCCCTAACCACTCTACCTGCCTGCCTCGTCACCTCTAACCACTCACTTGCCTGCCTTATCGCCTCTAACCACTCTGCCTGCCTGGTTGATTGTCCCTAGCCTCTGGCCTGCCTGCCTGATCACCCCTAACTGCTCACCTGCTTGCCTGATCGCCCCTAACTGCCTCTGCCTAGGCCCCCACCTGGAAGGTCGTTTGGCTGTCCAGTCCAATTAGTATATTACACTTTTATTATTATAGATTCGTCATAGTAGGTCACACACGGGAAGATGTGTAATCATATAACAACTTCTATGCTGTGAAAAATACACAGAATGTTGCGAGAAAAAGTTTGAAATAACTGATCTTAAGAGAGTGGTAAGCTAACATCAGCCCCATGAAAGCATTATTGTCACAAGAATGATGGTAAAACCATGTGCATTAAATAAGAAAGAAAACACTGGGCACAACACAGGGTGAAAACAACACTGCAATGCCTTGAGGGAGTAGGAACTGACGTTATTAATAACTGGGTCACAGAAGGAAATGATCTGCCTCCGCTCTGGCAGGGACGGGGTGATTAGGAGAGCTAGGGGCAAGAGGCAAAGGAAGAGAAACTAAAGACACTTGCTTAGGGAGAAAAATGGAAACGACAAAATGTTTTCATTTCAAAGCTTTCCTCTTTCCCATAATTTTCCTGAGGTTTAGTTTGAAAACTAAAATAACTACAAACCAACACAGTGGCAGCGGTTTAGCAACGCATATGTGGAAATATCAGAGGCAGACCAGCCTCACCTGCCACACAAGCCTCCACACACATGACACCAGCGTGACATGCGGCCCAGACAGGGGGACTCGTATCCCCTTGGGACCACACTCACATCCCATGTACACTCAGGAGTCATTTAGGAGCCAGGCAACAAAGTAATGAGGCTGCTTTCATGCTGGGCCACAGTGTCTACCCAGATCAGCACCCCTCTTTTTATCAACCCTGATGCAGAGTGACTTCCCAACAGTTCCAAAACTCTGATCCCCTCCCATCAGGTGAGTATTTGTCCGAGAGCACGTGCAGGATACAGACCCCCGGGTCAGGGCACAAGTTCGGCCCCTCCTTTCACTAACCATAGGACACAGGGCAAGTCCCTTTCCTGCTCAGAGATGTGGTCCTCTCAAGGGGTGAGGGTATAATTGCCCCTCAGACCGTGTTAGATAGTTGTGCACAAGTTCTTGATAAGCTCAAAATGTCATTAGCACATGTTCTGAAAGTAGGTCACTAAGATGTACTGAAGATGGAGGCTGTGTCCTCGCTGCTTGAGCGTTGGCTCAAGCATTGGCCCTTGTGACTCATGGGGACCAACCGATTGTGGCAGAGCTGACTTGGGCAGCTCCAGACCTCACCTAGGGATCAGCTGGCCTGTAAACACTCAGGCTACACTGCTAAGTTCAGAGAGAGCAATGGAGGGAGGGAGGCCATCCTGGATGTCCCTGTTCCAGCCCAGCTCCTGGCATAAGGAAGCTGCACAGAAGACCCCACCGGGGACGGGCAGGGGCCATCCCACTGAGTCCCACTGACCCACAGGGTCATGAGAAATAACCAGTCATTGGTTTCCTAAATCACTCAGTTTTTGGAGCAGTTTGTTACACAGCAACAAACAATGTAAATGATAACTCAGAAAGAAAAGTTGTAAAATGGTTTCCATTGTTGACCAGACTCTGTAACTTCTACTTGGCAGCTCTAAGAGGACAGTCACCTCTCAAGTGTCTAAGTGCTCCTTTGGGTTTATGATAACTCACAAGTGGGCCTTTTCTGGAGATGGGAAAAGGGAAGGAATGACCAAATAGGGCACCAGGGATTACTTAGAACTGCTAGCTTAACTCACTTTCCCATCCTTATTCCAAGTTCTATAGACATTTGACTCATTATAAAGCAAACTCAGATATTTATTCTTTTTTGCTTCTCCATTTTTCGATTAATATTATCCATTGAGATTGTCATTCAACATACTAAGGGACAGGAGAGAGAAGGGCCCTGAAGATCTGAACTAAGCCTGTGTTAACCTCAAGAAGCCGGTGACTCCTTGTGTACAGGTGCCTTTTCCCGCTGCTCTGCCCAGCCAGCCATCACCCGCTCCTGTGTGACAGCCTAGCTTAAAAAGCTGAATTCCTTGCTTCTGTCATTCTCAGACTTTCTCTGATCCTACCTCTCTCCCATAGTTAGCCACCCACCTCGTTTTTTCCCCACTGGTCTCAGGTAATTAGCTCTTAGACATCATCTGCCAGGGCATAGTTTTACTGACAAAACACTAAGAAAATTACACCTGTGCTGTGGAATGTTAGGGTAATTTTCAAGCTCTCATTGCCCAGACAGGGGCAAGACAGAACTGGTTCTCTGTAAGCACCCAAGGACGGTTGCGAATGAGGGACGCCTCAAAGGGATGGGGTGCAGAAATAGGCTGTTCTCTTACTGTGCACAGTACATTATAGGGAGTATAATAAAGTGTCAGCTTTCCAAACAGAGAAACTACTATTTCCAAGTATAAAAATACTCCAGGAGGTACAGCCTTTTATGGTTACAATCCTTATGCTCAAATTTTGTGCTCCCTTCATCTGTGTCTCGGTCCACACTATATCTCAGTTGACAAAGGAAAGAACCATGATTAGAAACAGTTTATAACCAGCCTCATAGAAGTCAATCATCTGGGCAAAATTGGTAACATGATAAATGGAACCTGACACTACATTTCAGAGACATCAGAAAGGCTAGAAATTTAAACCAGAAAGAGTTGGTCTTCTTCAGGAGTCAATACCTGGAGAAGACATAGATGTGAACCATAGTGGTGGGCATCATTATACAATGCTCATCTCTGAAGCCATGGATCTCTTAGAGAATCTACTGAATGCTACAGACACTCCTTAGAAAAATGAACACGAGCACATATAAACAATGTTTGTATACAATGTCATGGAGCTCATGAACCAAAAATCAGGCAGGCCATGGGTTCCAGATGATGAACTATCTGCACGATGACTAAGTGCCATGGACTAGCTGTGCATTTTAGACAAAACACTTCTCTGTGGTATTTTGATCACCCTGGACTGTAGAATGGGGATCACAACTTCCATTGCAAGGATTGTGGTGAAGCCTAAAATCAAATTGAGAAGATACCCTTGATAGCAGGTGATTTACACACAAATGCAAAAATAATGGCTGAATATGCAAGGGAAATTGGTCTGCAAGTGTGACTGCAGCTAAAGGAGTGTATGCAATATTTCCAACAGTCACTAGTAACCACAGGTCATCACATCTGTGTAAATTTTTGTCAATCAAACAGAGATAAATGTCATACAGGAAAGGACTAGGGTTGAGGGAACCACCCCAGAAGCTCACCCAATTCTGCCGGGTCAGTTGTGAAGGTGGGTAGGTGGCCTTGCAGTCCTTCCAGGTGAGTCCTGGCTGTGAGAGGGAAGTGGAATAATATTATTGGTAAACTGGACCAAAAGAAATATGCTGAAGATAACCTGACTTTGTGAAAAACTAGAAAACAGAGCTAAGCCCATAGAACTAGGGTGTTTAATAGGGGCTTTTTCACAGTGGCAGTCAGACATAAATTCAATATCCCTGTTCTTTCTTCCATCCCCTGTATACACCCTCCTCACCTCCAATTCGTTACATCATAGTATTGCTTTATTTTGCATTTAACCTCCTTCAGGAAGCTGTAACTCACTTTCTACTCTACATCCTCCCACTGCAAAGGCCATCACTATCCATCTAATGACTTTTGCTGACACATCTGTTGATTGGCTCTCCCTGGCTTCCCAAATGAAAACATGATGGTCTTAGGGGTAGAAACTGTGTGTAAAGTTCAACACATATTCCCAAGCACTGTGTCTGGTGTCTCCATGCACAACTGGTACTTGTGGGGTTTGTCATCAATGTTATCATTTATAATTATGCAAGAAGCCACTCTAATACAACTGGTTGCTTCCATCTCAAAGAACTTAAAGACCTGAATCACAGTTATATCATAAGATACTAGTACCAAATAAGCAAGTGCAATTGGTCATAATGAGCTCACAGACATAATACAGTCACTTGTCTGTTCCCAGTAGGTCACCAAAAGCTAAAGAAGAAACTTCATTGGTAAAGCCATTGTGCCATGAGGAAGGCACCTCATCAGCCTCTTGATCCTGGGAGCCTGACAGACCATCTCCATGTCCACAAAACTGTCCAGTGATTGGGTCACCTCAATGCAGTCCTCATTCCTTGCTGCCTCTTGATTTACCTGCCACTAAGCCTGCTTGAAAATAGCATGTTATTCATATACTTAGCCCTTAAATCCTGTAGTATTTTGTCTGTATCTCCATTTCAACATTTTCATTCTCTGCATTGTTATAATTGTGGGCCTTCTCTTCTGTCCCATCCCTTCCTCCCCAACAATAACTTACAGGGTTCATTTATGCCAAATAACCACATGGCCCCATCCTTCCCATCGATCTTTATAGAGACTTCAGTTATGGTCAGGCATTGCTAAGAGATGTACCTGAACAGACTGAACCCAGTCAGAGCTTGCAATCCTGCCTGGTGCTGGCCTCGAGTGAGAACCAGTGAGCAGCACCCCTCTTGCCAATGGCTCCAGGTCAGGGTTGTGTTCCTGGAAGTGCATCTGTGACACAGCACACCGTCATCAACCCTGTCAGCAATCTACACTGTTGCTGACTCTGCAGAGCTCCCTGTGTACTCTTGTAAGACAGGTAAACAGACGCCAGCACAGGAATGACGAGTGGCTCTGTCAGCGAAAACCCAGCAGATGGTTCTGTGTCACCAAGCACTGCCATTTGCATCGCCCTGAAGAAAACAGCTTACCTCTGAATGTTGGAGACGTGGCCATACACCCTAAATCTAACTTAAGCAAGAACAGGATGGCAAAAATCTTAGCATTAACCTGAATGTTTCTTTTAAACATTTCAAATGTGTTTATGCATACTTTTGATATTCCTGAGTTCTGAAAAAGGGAAATATTAATATTTAGGTGTTGATGGGAATGTGGGCAAAGGACTAACAAAATCTTTCCCTTCTGTGTAAAAATGTGGCCTATGGTTAATTTCTGGGCTCTGTTCTCCTGGAAACAGATAAAGATGGAATATGTAACTATGTCACTAGCCAGCATCACATGGTAGAGAAAACCTGACTGATAACTGCATTAGAACTAGGAGCATGTGAACACCTGATATCTTTGGCTCTGGAGTGTGACCCTATGGGGACCCTGGAAGCTACATTGGTGGCTCCCGTGAGAAGGAGCCACTCTAGTACAACTGCCAGTGAGGCTTGTCTCTGTCCCTGAGCCATCATCCAGGGCAGAGAGACTAGCTCCTGCTGGTGGGTGAGCAGACCTGTGGACTCCCACCGAGAGGGAGGCTGCCACCGCCATTGTCTGGCTAACACACTCAGGCTCCTCCCTGTGCTCTTCTGAGCAGGCCAATGTTTTTATACTATTAATTATTCTGTGTCTACGGTTTATGAAGAGCTTTCACACACATTATCTCATTTGAAAACAACTCTCAGAAGTAGATGAGGTAGATGTTTTCATTTACACAGGCAGAAGCTAAGGGTTCAGAAAGGTTCATTCATTTCTTCATTTAACAAATATTTATTGGATGTGGCGGTGCCAGCACATGAAGTAGGCACTTGCTTGGGCATGTATGCATATTTGAACCCAACCTTCTGCCTCCTCACCTGTGCCATGCTCTTTCCATCACCCCACATGAGTGAAATAAACATCAATAGAAATAATGTCAGAGTGGGCAAGAATAACTCAATTCTGTAAATTTTAGGTGTTGGAGTTGACATATCTGGGGTCCATTTTATACCTCACCTCTCCACTTAGACTGAAAGTTGAGCTTCAAATAAAGAGACCTCTTCTGTCTGTCTTTCAGTATTCTTTGAAGCTCCCGGCACATGTGGAATCTTCAGCTTGATCCCACAAAATACTTCTGGGTTGAATTTTTTTGTATGCCCAGGCCCAGTCACCTATTTGAGCTACTCAAGAGCTTAGTTGCTTGGATGTCTTTGGTCTGTGTTTACTGGAGAGTTGCTTTTTTTTTTTTTTTTTTTTTTTTGAGTGGATGAATAGCCAAGAGTTGTATGTGAGATCTGCTTTTGGAGCAGTGGCTGCCCTGTGACCTCAATCTTCTGAGTTGTTGATTTTCAGTTTATTAAACACTACAGGCCCAGCAGGCATGAAATCATGGGCAAGTAGCTCGCTTCCACTTGCCTCAGCTGGCTGCCCTGCCCTCTGCCGCTGGTAGTTCTCCGCTGCTAGTAGCTCACGCCCCACCTGCCACGAGAGCCACAGACCTTTTATGATATAGATTTTTCTTGTTGACAGAACAAGAGTGACGACTTCCAAGGTCTAGAAACCAGAAGTCCCCAAAGGGCTTTTAGAATGCCATTGAACCTTTTATGTATTTCATACATTCAATGATCATTTATGAAGCACTTACTGGGCAAGGTACTGTCCCCAACCTGCCTCCCAGACCTAAATATCCAGCCTCCTCTGGACTCTTGGGAGACTTGCCCAGGTGAGACCTCCTATTTCTAGAGACTGTGTATGGGGTTAGTAGGGGAGGAATAAACAGAAGAAGGGGGAATCTTTATGGAGGAAGAGAATCAATGCTACATTGAGGTCACCAATTTTCATAAAACCAACCAAACAACCTAATGGACTGTGGAAAACTAGCTATCCAAAAACTTTTCCAGTTTCCCTTTATCTTACTCTTCCAACTGTACCAGAAAGAGAAAGAGTGTGCAACAGCACATGAGTCTGTATTTGTCTGTGATGTTCTAATATCAAGTCACTGGATCTGAGAGGAAAGAAATGAGCTACTGCCTAGACACAAGAACAGAAGGAACTCAGAGTCTGGATTGCACAGTCAGTTCTATGCTGCCTTAATCCACACACAGAAATAGTTACCCTCAGTATGTGGCATAAATGGAAGAACATATACCATAGAATATAATAGAATGCAAAAACAAGGTCATCCAATACTGATAGGAAGACAAGACTGTGGAGTAAAACCCCATTAGTTCTGCTGTGCACAAACTCAAAATACTTTAACGATAGATATTCCAAATAGATTAAAATTGTAATGTTTCACTACTTACAAAGAAAAAATTGCTAAGCAAATTATAAGAATGGAAAGCTTCTATTTGGAAGAAGTATCAAACTAGAGAACAAACTTAAAATTTTTTAGAAGCACCTATTAAGAGCAATCATTACAGAAATGTTTGAATCAATTTCCTAAGGATTTCTATTAGGCAATACATGTTTGTTTAGTCAAATTTTTCAATAGATTGTTGAAAGCAATGGCTGTAATTCTTTCTAAATGTTTTAGAAACTTTTGATTAATTCAGAATAGATGGAAAGAGAGAGGAAGAATTAGGCTAAATTGATGAGGCTTTTCTATATATTTACATTAGGAGATGAGGGCTATCTATAATAATAAAAGCATAATATGCTAATTAGACTGGACGTCCTTCCAGATGACCTTCTAGAGAAGCTGGGGCTGCGAGGGAAGCCTGGGTCCCTGGTGCCAGAGGGAAGCCGGTGCCAGCAGCCGGGGGAAGAAATGCTTACTCTTGCATGAATTTCATGCATTGGGCCTCTAGTTTCTAATAATTTATAATATTTCAAAATAAATAAAGTGACAGAACAAAGACCCAAACAACTTAATACCTGACTTTCCCACAGGAGCTGCCCCTAAAAACTGCTCTATCCTTTTCTTGGTTCACTTCACAAATGGAATTGCTTTATCCTAAGTAGTAGAAGTACAAATAGCAAAGCAGGATGAGTTGGGCAGGAATAGCTGTGACAGGAAATGTTCTCCAGAATATTAAACCACCTAAATCCTTAAACTGAAAGAGATGCAGTTAAGGCTTAGACTCCTGACTGCTTCCAAAGGTTTCCCAGCTTCCTCTTGGTTGACCCCTCATGTGATCTTGTGAATCTTGCAAAGTCTGTCAATACTGTCTTTATGCTGCAGCCTGAGCACACAGAGAGCAAGCAGCTGGAGCAACCAGAAAGCCCGTTCCAGGTGCCCAGCGCAGGCTGATGCAACAGGGAGCCAGAAACAATGGTGCCACCAAACCTCAAACAGCCCCATCAGCTGGGATTAGACATTGTCTCCCCAATCTCACATCGTGGCAGCACCATCAAATTATAGCCTGGTGAGACTAAAGAGAACAGGGCTAGGTACGGGAAGGTGACACAAACATGGATTGTTACCTGCTGACTTTTTGTTGTTGAGTGAGTGAGGAATGTTGTATCAGAATGGAGTGGGGCACCCGGCTGGTGTGGCTCAGGGGTTGAGCATTGACCTATGAACCAGGAGGTCACAGTTCGATTAACAGTCAGGGCACATATCCAGGTTAATGGCTCGATCCCCAGTGGGGGGCATGCAGGAGCCAGCTGATCAATGATTCTCTGTCATCATTGATGTTTCCATCTCTTTCTCCCTCTCCCTTCCACTCTGAAATCAATAAAAATATATATATTTTAAAAAATAATGGAGTCGGGCAAAGACTGAGACCTAATTATATTTCAGACACTGTGCCACACCATTGGACACTTGGTCTCATTTCAGATCCTAGCAATTTTGCGAAAGGCTTAAACATCCCCACTTTCCCCAGGAGAAAACTAAGGAGAAAGGAGGAAGAGAAAACAATAGAGTAGAAAGAGAAGGAAAATGAGAAAGGGGCTTCCATGAACACCTACTGATAGGTTAGGACTTTCACCTGTCATCACATTTCATTTTTGCCGGTTTCTTTAAAACAAAGCACACCTTTATTGTTGAGAGTGTTATAGATGCCCCCTCCTTTTTTCTCCCATAACCATCCCCCACCCAGTTCCCGCCCCACCCCAGGCCTTCACCATCCTATTGTCTGTGTCCATGGGTTATGCATATATGCATATAAGTTCTTTGGTTAATCTCTTCCCGCCCCCTCCCCCCTTCCCTCTGAGATTGGTCAGTCTGTTCCATGTTTCCATGCCTTTGGTTCTATTTTATTCATCAGTTTATTTTGTTTGTTATATTTCTTGTTCATTTATTTTTAGATTGATTTTTAGATTCAATTGTTGATAGATATGCATTGATTGCCATTTTATAGCTTATATTTTTTACCTTTAACAACTTCTTCTTCTTCTTCTCCTCCTCCTCCTCCTCCTCCTCCTCCTCCTCCTCCTCCTCCTCCTTCTTCTTCTTCTTCTTCTTCTTCTTCTTCTTCTTCTTCTTCTTCTTCTTCTTCTTCTTCTTCTTCTTTTTCAAGAAGACCCTTTAACATTTCTTGTAATACTCCTTTGGTGGTGATTAACTCCTTTAGCTTTTCCTTGTCTGGAAAGCTCTTTATATAACCTTGAATTCTAAATGGTAGCTTTGCTGGGTAGAGTACTGGTAATCTTGGTTGTAGGTTCTTGCTATTCATCACTTTGAATATTTCTTTTACCACTCCCTTCTGGCCTACAAAGTTTCTGCTGAGAAATCAGCTGACAGTCGTATAGGTGCTCCCTTATAGGTAACTAACTGCTTTTCTCTTGCTGCTTTTAACATTCTCTCCTTGTCTTTAACCTTTGGCGTTTTAATTATGATGTGTCTTGGTAT